ACTGAGTATGGTTAAGAACTTGCAGTACGCTAGGATCATTGGGCTGAAGGACGATATTAGTTTAGATTAGATAGTTAGAAATGTGTAATAGATAAATTGTAATTAACATTCGATGATTAAATAAATGGGTATTATTTATTAGTAAAGTTACTGTCTTATGTTTATTGTTTACCTATTGTTTCATTTTGAATGTTTTGACTTCCTGAATAATAAATTTATTCGAACGGTCCATAGTCGTTCATATGCTGGAAGTAGGTATGAATGAAGATTGTCATGAATTGGTGTATAGATTGTCTAAAGTGTATTAGACATAGCAAAAGTTTGCTACAACGTTCATGAGTGCTTATGAATAAGATTTGAGCATTGGAATAAATCCATGCTTGCTGGAATCACTTCATGGAATTTATCTCGAATGATCTCAAGACGATAATATCATATGGTCTTAAAACCTAGATATATGGTTTATTGTTTTCTAATTGGTTTTACATTGATAATGCGTAAACACATCAGTAACTTGATGTTATAAAACACATTGTTGTGTATGATTTGATTAGTGAATAGTAAATGCATATTAGTCGAAGTTTATCTGTTCCTTTTATCCTAAGAGGGTAAAAGCGATATCAAGGCCCCTCGATGATTTGGTTTGACTTATATGCCGAGCCCGATCAGGACTAAATTGATGTGTTTAATTAAGTTCTATGTCAAACGAATTAAAGATCGAGAAACAAACTGTTAGACAATAAGTATGACTATGTTCCATGTAATTGTCTGCACGATATCTAGAACAGAGGACTATACGATCCCTTATCTAAATGACAAGTTGTTGATGATATTAGAGCTCAACATCATCTTTGAGAGCTACGATTGCTAATCAGATTGTGTTTGCATTTATAGTTACTAGACTATCCAAGTGGGAGACTGTTGGATTAATGTCTAAGCCCGTAACTATATTTGGTAAGTACTTGATGCGGTTGTGCATGGTCCTTTTAGGTTGATACTGTTGGATTAGTGTCTAAGCCCGTAACTATATTTGGTAAGTACTTGACCTGGTTGTGCATGGTCCTTTTGGGTTGCCTTCACAAAAGCAACTTGACAGGGTGATTTATGAATAGAGAGGTTAATATGGTTTATTAATATATTATATGAATACTATATTAAAGGAGAAATCATATGGTTTAATTAATATTAGACAGTAATTAATTAAGAATTAATTTTGTGGCTAAAAGACATTAATTAAATATCAGGGACTTAAACTGTCAAATGTGTGATAATTGAATATTGGGCTGAGGAGCCTCTTGGACTAGGCATGGACAAAATTAGGGATGTGTCCATCCTAATTTCGGCCATAAGGGGCCTATTTCAGAAGCTTCCTTGGATTGCTTAAGGCCTAAGCTATCCATTAGGGTTTAGACTGAAACCTTAGCAGCACCAGTATAAATAAGACCCTAAGGCTTCCAATTTTCAGCCACTTGAACCCTTAGAGCCTTCATAGCCGAAATTGTGCCTCTCTCCTCTCTCTCTCTCTCTCTCATATCATCCTCTTACTTGTGTGGTGTTTGTAAGCCATTAGAGGAGTGACACTAGTGACTCTAAGACAAAAGGTTCAAGCCATTGTTCAAGATGTAATCATCTAGATCTGTTTTCTTATGATAATTTCGAGTTATGTATGTTAGATCTAGGTTTTGTAAGTCTTGGATGAATTGCATGTACAATAGAGAAACCTAGATCTAAGCTTTAGGGTTTGCATGAGCACATAGGATGTTATTTTGTGTAAAACTCATCAGTGGTATCAGAGGCTTGATTGGTTTCTTTTGTATTGATGCCTTGTATGTTCATCCTCTATGAAAATCATTTTTTCTACCCTCTGCCCGACCTGACTCGGCGAGTCAATCCAACTCGGTGAGTCCAGTTAGTGACTCAGCGAGTCGGAGCGTCAAACAGAGGGATTTTCGAGATTTCTTGATGTTTTGCTGAAGGATAATTTCCTAAATCATTTTTGACTAATAAAATCTGAATTTTATTGTTGTTATATGAATATCCTTACCAAAATAAAAGATAATTACCAATTGTTTGAATAATTAATTCCTTATCCGAATTTTAATGTTTGAATTACTTAGGATGCATTAAAAGTATAGAGATGGTGGTGATGTAGTGATAGCATTCAACAGTACTTATGCTTAAATTATAGAGAGAACGGAAAATCAAAGACTATTGCCATAATATAAGTCAAAATGGAATAAAACACCCCGAGAAGTAAACAAAGCCCATCGATCTGAATGGTGAGATGTAAATCACAAAAATGAGAAAGGTAAGATGCTTATAGATATGGAATTTTGTTCATTTGTAAGTTCAAATTTATCTATCTGGTATTCGTTCCTTTCCAAGCACCAAGAATACTGATATGGGCTAGGTCGTAGATAGAGAGTAGGTGGTGGTTCAATACCGATGGTGCTGTTGATGATGAGGTGGGCAGATGAGGTGCTATGTCAGCTCTTTAAATTAGGTTTTTTGCTATGTGAGGTTGGAGAAAATGAGAGTGTAGAGCGACAAAGGGATACCGTTTATTATTATTATTTTTGATTGAATTTCTAAAACGTTAACGTTTAATGTGATTAATTTCACAAACGTAAATGTAAACGTGCATTTAAATGATAAGCATAAGTTGATTGTATATTATGTAGTTATTGTGGTACCTCTTAAATTTCAAGAAAATGTCTAAAATGTTATTATATATATATATATATATATATATATATATATATATATATATATATATATATATATATATATATATATATATATATATATATATATATTGACAAGGCTTTAAGGAATAAGAGACTTTATGTTGGTTCATATTTTGGCCACAACATTTTAGAAATGTCACCTTTTCGGCTAAAATTTTGTTAGACCACAAATAATCTTAAAATAAAAGTTCATATGAATAGAAAAGTTTTAGGTTTTTAAACTTTTGCCATTAAAACTTTATTTTAAATTTTGGCCGCAATGTATAGTATTAGAGTTTTACATTTTTACCCCAAAATTTTGTTATGTTGACCATAAATAATCTAAAATTTTAGCCATGAAGTCTTTTACTTTAGAATGTAAAACTTTCTTATTTTAGCATATTTGATCCCTAAACTTTGGTATGTTCATACTTTTAACCACTTTGTCGAACGCCACTTTCTATTCCTTACTTTATAAAATATCGCTTACCCACTTAATTTTGAACGCCTGCATTTCCATCTCTTACCTTTCGTATATTCACAGTTTGTAGGTTTCACTTTGATCCCTACATAGAAAATAAATTACAAAAACCGTCATTGTAGTTTACATAATAGGTATTTGTGCATAATTATATTTATATGAATGGTGTATATATTAAAAAATTATATAAATGCCTCTTCCTAATAATAAATTTTAAAAAGTGAGTTTGTATCCTTACGTAGAAAATAAATTACAAAAATGGTCTCTGTGAGGTATTTTTTCTTTTCTAAAAACAATCATTGTAATTTTGTAAGCAAAACATTGTATGCGTCCCCACTGAAACATGGATGAACATTCTCTAGTTAAAACAAAAGGGGAAACAATAACAAAATCATTATGTATTAACCTAAATTTAGATCGTATCTTACTAGTAATATCCACTTATTTAGATCTTCATCAACCATCTAGGTAACACTAATCGACAATTGATTGTAACACCCATATTTAGGCTGTAATTTTTTTAAAATTTTATTCAATTGGACCTTCATCAACCATCATGTAACGTTAATCGACCGTCGATTTTAACACCTATATTTTTAGGCTATAACTTTTGTCAGTTTTAGTAAATTTGGATTTTTATTTTTTTAAAGGAAACAAAGATAAGTTATCATATGAATAAGGAATCTAAGTTTGATGGACTAAACTTGCCAAATTTAGAAACATAGGTTTAACCATGCAACTAGATTTGGACCAATAGTTTTATGAACTTAACATTCTAAGGTTATTTTGGGAAGTTAATGATTAGAAAGTGAATTAGAAGCTATAAAGAGAATTAAAGGGGAAAACTTTTAAAGTTTAGCGGTCAAAGTGAATAAACAAAAACCTACCTTCACTATTCTCTTCATTTGGAAAAATGGTCTTGAGAGCTAGTGAGGAAGAATATGGCGATTGTTGGAAATATTGAAATAGGGTTATGGAAATCTGGATAACAAAACAGGAATTGTGTAATCACTTTCTTTGTTTGATATTTCGATCCTATATGCCCTGGGTATCACGAAATCCAAACTTAGGATAATTCCTGATGCAACAATTCTGATTCTAGGCACAAAATCAGAATTAATTTTAGAAGAAGATGAAGAAGGAAGCGTTTCCCGGTTTTCTATGTTCAACTCAACGGATAAATGAGAACAGTTTGTATCTTTCAGAAAAACCAGATTAGTCCCTGAATTTGCATTTTTCAAGAATGACATATTAGTCCTTGTACTAACAATGTTTAGTAAATACAAGTGTGCACTCCCACACCTCCTAACTTGTATTATAACTAAAACATTATTCTTGAAACACTTGTTGAATCCATTACACTAAAATATATTTGGTGATATAAAATCACCAACAACGATTTTTGAAGGCTTGAGAGAGAGAAGAGTAGCAAGTTCGAATATCTCTTGAAGAATTAGAATTCCAATCATCAAAGTAGTGCTTAGAATGTTTGAATCCCTAGTTGTGACTTCCATTTGTACGATCATTTTTGTTTAAATCTTGAATCAATTGTTTTTGTAACCCATCAAATTATTTATGCTCCTTTTTGCCAAAATGAAAACACAAATCTGAATAAATTACCAATAAAATATAGGACATACGAGAATGAGAATAATTCTACTCTATAAAATTGACATATTTATTGACCCTTTTTGGGTTCTTTAATGTAACATATTAGATATTACAAAGTCTTCCAATTATTACACAACTTTGCTATCATGAAAAAAAAAAAAAAAAAAAAAGAATTAATAAATTGGAAACATAATGAAAAGAGGAACTCATATTATTATTTTTTTTTATAAAAAATAAAATAAAATTTAGCCAGAAAGTGTGCAGGGTTTAAACAACCAGAAAACATCCAACCCTTTTGCTTCATTCTGTGTTAAAAGAGGAGCAGCTTGATTTGTATTGACTTTGACTTCCTTCTTCACCTCCTTTATACTGATTTCTTCTAGTATCCCTCTCTCCTATATAATTTAAATTCGCATAATTGGTTTGTATCCAAAAAAAAAAAAAAAAAAAAAAAGAAACTTTCATAAAAATGGAACATACCACATACCTTAGTTCTCAGACGTGATGCCTTAGGGGGTGGGGTGGGTTTGGGGGTCCCACGGTTAGCAGAAAAGCATTGCGGCGATGGAGGATTTGTTCGAATCTGCAACAGTCTTTCCTCATCTTTGCCTCTTATGGTTTTCATATTTAATGCAATCGGGGTGTTCTCTAAATCACCATTCATCCTAACATCATAAACATTATAAATATCACAAACAAATTTAGTCCATAAGAAGGGCAATAATGTCTTTTGCATAAAAAATACCGAATTTATAACTTACTTTTTCCTTGTGAGCTTCTCCTTGACATTCTTATGCTCCATTTCTTCAGGATTCTCTAACAATGGCTTCCTTTCACTTTTACTTTCCTGCAAAACTCCCATTTCCTGTTTCTTTGAAGGCACCACACTCTTATTTACAATCTCTTTTTCACCATTATCTTTTGTTCTTGTTGCCAATCGCTTCAACTCGTTGCAAAACTCAGTGACCTGATTCAATATATCTCTTCCAGCAAATAGATTTCGAGCAGACAATGTGTGTTTCAGAAGCCTTGGGGGTTGGGGTTCTTCTTTTAGTAAGAAATCGTTATCGACATTGATCTTCTCTGAGCTTGATTTGATCATTTCTTTTATGGATTTGGGTTTGTGAATAGGAGGGGTTGAGAAATTGGGGTTCTGATTCTCACTATCTTGAATGCATTTTGTAGTTTTTGAGTCTTTGTTCAATGGGAAACCCCTCTTCTTCAATGCTGCATCTCTATGAACAGAAATATAAATGTGATTTAGGGTTTATAAACCATGGATTCGATCGGAATTTATTGTTATAAACAGAGTTTGTATACCTGCGATTTCGATCACTAAATTCAGGGATCTCTGAAACGCTAACCGATCTAGGAAGCTACATGGAAAGATAAATGGAGGATCAGTAGATTCATCAAATCAAACATAAGTAGATCTCGTGAAAAGGATTTGATTAAGAGTATAATGAAACGGAAATCAAACAAGATCTGAGAATTAGAACCTTTGCGGAATTGGGGGTTCTTTGCCTGAAGAAATCTTCCACCGTCTTTGGATGATCACAATCTGTAAACCACAATCATGAACAAATAACAATCATAAATCAATAAAAAACAATGTTATTTTGACTTTTGAAGTTCGAATAACATAACAATTACAATTACAAGTTCAAAGTCATCGTAAATTCTTAAATCTAACCCGAAAACATTGACAATTACAAGTTGCAGTAAAAAAATCGGCAAAAGTAATCGAATCCATTGCATATCAAAATTACTACAATCGAACTTAGCAAACAGTTTGATTGTATAACAATAACAAATCACCAGGAAACTTTCAAAATTGTAGTGCTTTCTAAGATCTCACTCGAAAACATGTGATAATCATAAGTTGATATAACATTACCACAAAAAAACATCTGAAAAAAAACAATCCATTGCATATGAAAATCACTAAACAGTTAGCATGTATAAGAAAAGAAGAACAAAAATTCACCAGGGCGGCAGAACCAAGCTTCATCATCAACAGGAGGATCATGATTGGAGAAATCAATCCATTGTGGAGCGTTAATGTCTTCATAAAGTATGTCCTTTTCGAACTTCGAATCTTTCCAATCGATCACAGCTACATCCATTGATGGATTGGAGAGAGAAACAGAGAAAGAAGAAGACAATGCGGTTTGTGTGAGTGATCTGAGTAAAGAGAAAGAGAGACCTGAAACATTATGGAAAGGACGAGGGTTATGAGGGGATTTTTACGTTACTGTTTTTCGACCGTTGGAGACATTTTTTCTTATTTGTTTATCAATTTAGAGTAACTACAAAATAGCCCCTTCACTTCACTTTTATTTACAGTTTTAGTCCACCGACACAAACTTCATTAATGCTTTGTTTAAAACTAAAATAGAAAAGACAAATTACACAAATAGCAACACACTTAGCCCATAACATGTGTCGGGATAAACATAATTTTATATGAAATACAAATATTTAATGAAGATAACAAAGTGATAAACAATATCTATTTATATAGCTTTATGTATGATAGATTCAAACATATTTGAGGGCCCTTACAAAAAAATGAGACCCTTAATATTAGATTTTTTTTTTAGTAAAAGAGGGTGGCACCTTCAGAAATCATTTTCCAAAATTCTTTTTTTTTTTTTTTTTTTTTTTTCAAACTCGTTTTCCTCAGAATAAGTAAACTAGAAATTGTTTTTCAGAAAAAAACAAACCATCTTTTTCCAATAGATATTTTTTTTTTCAATTCATTTTTTAGATATCAGAATAAGAACGTCTTCGATTCACTACTACGAAATTAAAAAAGGAATCAAGAATTTTTTTAGAAATCATTTTCAATTTAAGAATTAAAGCAAATAAAAAATTCAAAAATTGTTTTGTAATGTGGTTAATGTGGGGATGTTTGATTTGCTTTAGTTACCTACCAATAGGGGCGATCACTTGATTGTTTAGAATTCTGAAAGATCGATTGACATCTCTTGTCTTCTTCATTAATTTTGGCTCCAATCTTTTTATCTTTTTTTTGCCGCTACCTGCGAATCTGCAACGACTTAATATATATATATATATATATATATATATATATATATATATATATATATATATATAGAGAGAGAGAGAGAGAGAGAGAGATATGAAATTTTGAAGGGGATCATCGCCCCTTAGACCATCCGTTATACCCACCACATACCATATATGTGGTGGGTGCCACATCAGCACCATATTCTCCTACCACTAACATGGGATACCTACCAATAACACACCACTCCACCTCATTACTTTAATTAAATTTAATTAAAAAATTCATATAATTGTTTTTTTAAATACTATTTTTCATTAATTTAAAATACTAAATTACATTAATTAAAAACTACATTAACTAAAACGAAAAAAATTACGTTAAAATTAAAAATTACATTAAGTAAAATAAAAAAACACAATAAAAAATACATTAATAATTGAAAAGCTAAAAATACCAAACTTCTAATTTGTGTTTTTTTGCAAGATTATTCCATTTTGGGGAATTCTTCAATTTTTGCCAAGCTTTGACATGTCTAAAACGTTGTTGATTTGTGTTTTCATATTGCTCCATGGCCATATTAACCGGATCGATTTCGGCTTCATGAACGTTGTTTATAACAAAGTTGTAAATTCCATTGAACTCAGAACACCTGACCCTCATATCGTGCCACTTCAAGCATATTTTATCAACATTTCGAACTGCACCACCCATTAAACCATTGAAAACACTTTCAACATTTCTTCAAAAAGAACCGTAAGTTTCACCAACGTCTTCTTCCGAAACCGTCAACCAAGCTTGTGCTAATTTCTCTTCTTCTTCTCCTGACCAGTTCTTATTTTTGGGAGACATGATTTTTAAAGGATCAAACAACAAAAATATATCTAAATGGAGTAGAATTATATGAAAAATAAGAAGATATTGGTAGTATTTATAGATAAATATTGAAGAAATTGAAAAATAGCCGTTAGGAAGGGGGAAGAAAGGTCAAACGTGATTTAATGCAAGAAATGAAGCTATTGGCCGTTTGAATTCGTTGTCCAGAGCACGGAAGGCCACGACCACGAACCACCGGGGTGGTGTGCACGGTCGTGGTTCGTGGCCACCTAGACCACGGACCATCTCGTGCAATGTATACCATTTGGCCTTGTGGTGACAATTTATATGTAAGGGATTATATATTTATATGCATGAGATCATTCAAAGTGGGAAAATGTTATCATAAATTGATTTTAATTTATTTTTCTACTTTTATTTTTTATTTTTTTTCTAATAACATATTTGGAAAAAATATAAACTACGTACCATCTTACCTTCTTCTTACCCATTTTTATGGGAGACATTGTTATTGTTATTGTTTTTCGTAAACAATATATCTGTATTTTTGTTTATTGTTTTTGAGATTTTTGATAATTATTTCTTGAGAAAAAGAGAAAAAAAAATGAATTGATGAAGAAAGTAAATGATAACTAAAGTCAACAATAAATATTTGTGATTTACCAAAATTGTACTCAAATAATTCATGAATATACGTATACCCACCAATGGGGACTTGGCGACATGCGCACAATAGCAATAGGCTTATACCGTCCGTCTGCGTGGAGCGCACGATAACGTGATATAGCTTTCTCTCGGTCTAAAACCCTTGCTTTCCCATAAAACCCTGAAAACGGAATTCGTCGAATCTCCTTCGCCGGCTTCACTGATCCAAATATTATATCATTAGAAATCACCTCATAATCGGTGAATCGATTATCAATCTATGTCGTTGAAAGCTATAAATCTGGAGAGAGTGAAAAACAATGTCTCAAACCCAAAAGTATGGATCGTGATCGGCGTCAGCGTCGCCGGCATATTGATCCTCACCGCAGAGACTCGGAGGCGTCGATTAAAAGGTAGGTATGCGATAAGAGAAGATTATGGTGCTTTTATAGAGCGTTTCGAGCTGCTTCCGTTTCCTCAGCCGCCTCCTCCCGCTGCAAAACAACCTCTCTCTGGCCTGACTTTTGCCGTCAGCGATGTGTTAGTTTCTATCTATTCTTCTATTCATGTCTATTTCTATGCATTTTTGAATTGTTTTTATACGCAAGTGGATCACTGGATGATGATACATTGTTAATGATAGTTTACCGTTTATATTTTTGATATGTATCATGATGCTGTTATGCACTCGAGTGTACTCTCTTTGCAGCGTATCTAATTTATGCAATACATATCATTTGTAAAAGAGAGCTACGCCAAAAGGATCACAATGTTTGACCGTCTATTGGGCAAATAAATAAATTTTGAATGAATCTTTCAAAAAAGAAAAAACATCAGGACAATCGATGATGGTGTTTAAATGGAGTACCATTTTACTCAAAACGTGTTTCATGTAGAAAGGGAGCTATCTACATCAATCAAGCAATATAAGCAGAACAACTAAGCTTTTATCCTTTCCAACTCTGAATTAAAATTCATCTTAGTTTTGCACTTGAAGTCTGCTACATATGACAATACGCAAAAACAAAAGAGTAATTGTTGTTGAATTCTGCTGTTATGTTGTAGCTTTGATGTGAAAGAGTATGTTAGTGGATTCGGGAACCCAGATTGGAAAAGAACACACGAGGAAGCTGGAAAGACTGCAATTGTTGTTACTGCATTGTTGAAGGATGGGGCTACTTGTGTTGGAAGAACTGTCATGGACGAGTTATCTTTTGGGTACTCCTTTTTTCATTCGTCTTCATTATCAAGATTCAAGACAACCACATTATTAACATCTAACTTGTCATAAAGACAAGAAGTTAACACAAGGATTGTTTGTTCATTTATTGCACCATGTATTTTCTGGTGTTAAATCTCCCCTTCTTTTGTCTTATGTAAACATGTTTCCTACAACTAGTTAGTCGGACATTTTCATCAGTTAAATGTAAAAACAATGGAGCTTGAAAGTGAGTTATGGATTATGATTTCAGGACAACTGGAGAAAATTCACATTATGGGACCCCAACAAACCCTGCAATGCCATCCTATGTTCCTGGTGGATCCTCTAGTGGTTCATCTGTTGCAGTTGCAGCAGAGCTTGTTGACTTTGCAATTGGTATTCTTCTTTCATATGTAAAAATGCAAAAGAGCAATTATAGCAATCTTACAATAGGCTTTCTTTCTGTTCTCTGTATGCCTTCTGTTAACTTTTCCATATGTTATTTGTTAAATTCTAAGGTACTGATACAATTGGAGGAGTAAGAATCCCAGCCTCATTTTGTGGCATCCTTGGATTCCGGCCTTCACATGGAGTTGTATCCACAATTGGGGTTCTCCCTAATTCACAGAGTTTAGACACTGTTGGTATGTAGTCTTGGTATGTCCTATGTTTATTTTCATGTAGTCTTTTTTGGTTTTTGTGAAACTACATGTCAGTAGAAGTCTTCAGTTTTGTTGCTTTTTCTTTTTATATTTCATGTGTTTGATGATGAAAATCTTTCAGGAATATTTGCTCGTGATCCTTCTGTTTTGCATCGTGTTGGGCATGTTCTTCTTAGATTGAACCCTGTTGAGCCTAGAAGGACAAGACGAATAGTTGTGGCTGATGATTTATTTCAGTTATCCAAAGTTCCTCAACAGAAAACTGTATATATTGTTAGCAAAGTAACTGAAAAGTTATCTGGTTGTAAGTTCCTTCCCAAATTTTTATGCCCTAGATTGTTTAACTTAGAGTAAATTACAAGAATGGTCTATGTAGTTTACCCAAAATCCCAAAATTGCAAGTTTTATCTATTTTTTGAAGCTTTTCCCAAAGTCATCCCCAACTTTTATACCCTTATTTCACATAAGGGTAGAAAAGTCATTTCACACGAGTCAGGGTTCAATACCAAAACAAAAACCAAAGTCAAGGATGATTTCAGAAAATGAACCTAGCTTGCGATTTCGGGTGAAGTACAGGGACTATTCTTGTAATTTACTCTATTTTATCGTATGAAGCTTTTTTCTTCTGTATATGGATCCACAAATTGAGGGAATGAAATGAGTAAAATACTAACTTGATGATGTTCTTTTTGTTCAATCTTTTTGCAGATCAACAACCAAAGCATATGAATATTGGTCAGTATATTTCTTCAAATGTTCCAGGCTTAAAATATTTTCATAATGAGGAATCAAATCTCCAAAATGGAACAAATGCTTTGAAGGCTCTTTCATCAGCAATGCTGTTATTACAAAGGTATGTATGAATTTTAATGAGTTAATCGCTCTGATAGTTTATAATAATAACATGCTTTTGATTTTTCAGATATGAATTCAAAACCAATCATGAAGAATGGATTAAAACAGTGAAGCCCAGGCTAGGATCTGATGTATCTGATCATATTCATGCAGCAATTTCAGCTGCACATGAAAATATCAAAGCTTACTATAAAGTCAGAACAGAAATGAGAGCAGCTCTACGCAGTCTCTTAAAGGTACTTTGCATACAGTATTTACTTAAATACCCTCTAAAGGTACTTATTTCTGTATTTACAGGATGATGGAATTCTGGTTATTCCTACAGTGGCTGATACCCCTTTAAAACTTGATTCAAAGAAAGGTTTGTTGACTGAATATAATGAGAGGCTATTTGCTCTATTAAGCATTGCTACTATGTCTGGCTGCTGTCAGGTAATTTATATACTTAAATCAACTCTGGAAAAATCTAAATTTTATTTAATTTAATGTATGTTACAAATAATTTCCAGGTCAGCATTCCTTTTGGAAAGCATGAAGATTCTTGTATTGGGGTTTCGTTTATTGCGTTTCATGGATCAGATAAATTTCTACTTGATACTGTTTTGGATATGTATCAATCTTTACAAGGACAAGTTAATGCTGTTACAAGTTTGCCACCTTCTCTAGACTTGAATGGGAATATGGATGCTTCTGAATTGTTGAAGGAAAAGGTTTTTACTATTTTACCCTTTTACCCCTTTACTCTCTATTAAAGAAGTAATTTTGTTTGTGGTTTGTGTTAGGGAAATGCTGCATATAAAGGAAGACAATGGAATAAAGCTGTGAGCTATTATACTGATGCTATTAAATTGGATGAATCCAATGCTACCTTTTACTGTAACAGAGCAGCTGCTTATTTAGAATTAGGATGGTATTTTTTTTTTTTTTTTTTTTTTTTACTTTGAATTTAATTTATTTTTATATATAAAATTGTTATTAATTTTGCTACTAAATTGATGATGGTTATGTTTTAAAATCACAGCTTTCAACAAGCTGAAGAGGATTGTAGCAAAGCAATATCACTTGATAAGAAGGTAATGATGTGTATATATATTAATGAGAAGGAAATGTTGACTTAATCATATAAAATGTCTGAACACATTATATGTGATGTTTGCTGTTAATCACTTAAATTAAATTCATATATTCTTTTATAATAATATTGATTTGTATCTTTTTTCTATTTGCAGAATGTGAAGGCATATTTAAGGAGAGGAACTGCTAGAGAATCAGTTCTTTATTACAAAGAGGCTCTTCAAGGTGCGAATCTTTTTCTTTTTTCTTAGATTGAACTATTATTTATTATTATTTTTGCATTTTTATAGTTGTTATATTAGTAGTTAAGTGGCTAATTCAGTAAAATTAGTAGAATGGTTCCCCCAATCGTTGTATTTTGACTAAGTTACATTCTTGGTCCCTCAGTATAACTTATTATTTCAGTTATTGTCTCAAAAAGTTCTCTTGCAATTTTTGGTCGTTATTCGAGTTTTTGTATGTTTTTGGTCACTTTTCGAATTAATTTTTTGCGTCTAAAGTTGGAAGACCGTTATAAGAACCTTAAATAAGGACCAAAATTTAAAGAGAACTTTTTGAGACTAAAACTGCAAAAGTCT